ATAAGCCGATGATACTGGTAACCTGCAGTTCACCCTTACGGACACTTCGTACGATCTAGCATCACTACCTGCTGATTACATACACCTGCGCGTGCGTTGTGAAGCGAATCCGCGGTGCAGGCAGGAGCAACCAATGTTATTACTCGGGGGTGTTTGGCAGAGTAAGGAGAGAAATTCGGACTTTTCAGGAATTGCGCATGACTGGCAGTCAACAGGTTAAAATTCACCGGTCACTGTGATAGCAAGGTACTTTTGTATTCACTATTGAAGTCCTAAATTGCAGTTAGTATAACCTGACTAATATGTTCTGATTGAGTAAGCCAGTACCCAGTTTGTATGTAACTGGCACCTAAACCAACAGATTCAATAGAAATCGAAATGCCAACTGTAACAAAACCGATATGAGATTGTATTAAATTGACTACGTCACGAATTTTCCATGGTAAAATTTGTAAAATTTTTGTTGCCATTTTTTTACATTAAAAGTAAGTACTAACGTATCGTCAAATTCTTACCTGATAAGATTGTTTCTCAACTAGTTAAAAATAAAAAAAACCTGGACGATTTGATACTATGTTCCTGACATTAATTGCTTGCTATGGGCTATGTATGAGTCACGGGTGTATGTTCACATCGAACAATATAGTAAAATAGGAAGTATAATGCAGCAATTTAACCATAAAAAGTGAACAGAATCACTTATATTTTGTGAAAAAGTGGAAATATTTTTTTTATTTCTACTATTTGCGGTGACGTAATCACTTTAAATAAGAGTGCACTAGAAATGTGTATTATAGTACTCAGTGTCATTATAATCTATAACGCACACTTCTTTATACAGATTATCAGGAGTATAGATAATAGCTATTATATATAGATAGATATATAGTACCTATTATGTTCTCCTATTATTGTTGACAAGAAACGCATGTGCATTTCTTCACTATTACACTTAAAGTAACAACACTAGCTATGGATTCAAAATGAGGTTGGGGGACTTGGACGAACGTTAATAGTATATTGTAAATTTCATGATTAATTTGATACAATTTGGGAAATTATAGCACACAAACCAATATCCTGGAATCGGGTGGGGGCGATACCTTGTTTACACTACTATATTGATAATTATATGATATAATAATATGATGTACATAAAAAGTTATCTGCAGAGAAGTCAGACATGTCTGAGAAATGTTTGCTTAACATCACATGAATAGATTGATTAGATATTGGTTATTAGGTAATATAAAGAAAGGATCTATTACTACTACTACTACTACTACTACTACTACTACTTATTAGTATTATTTTTATTATATTTTTTTATTATCATGGTCATCATCTCTTGATAATATACAAATATATACTCGTAAATAGACAGATAAATATATAGCCAGGCTAGCAGAGGCGCAGGCACATAGGCAAGCAGAAAGACAAACCGTGAATCACACAACGAGGCAGTCATATGCATGTGTTTGTGCAAAATGCCACCATCGGCTCGCCAATTACCGGTGTGGTGGAGTAGGTTTCCGAGACACGCTGAAGCCAGCGGGGAAGTCACCGTGTGTGGCCCATCAGGAGGCCATTGATAAATGCCTACAGGAAGCTCTGGCTCGCACAGGTAATTACCCTGCGGAGTTAACTAGCTCCATCCGTCTCACCTGTCCACTGCTACTCACAGGTAGCGCAGCAGTGCATGCGTTATATTGCTGAACATCTGGTAGCACGTCAAGGGTGAACATAGCGAGTATTGACAGCGACATAGCTCAGCAGGGAGTTGTAGGGGTCACTACGCTCAAATGAGTGCAATGTACAGGTATAACACTGAAAGCCAATATTCGTATACGATGTTAGCCTTATAGTAGAAGTCCACAAAGAGCCAGCGTGAACTAAAATACGTGAGAGGTCGATCACGGGGGAAGATAGCAACATGGTCCTAGAATGATGTAGAGATTCATCATTGGGGAAGGGAAAAATATTAGTCTAAAACAATGTACCATGCTCATGGCAGGCAATAGAAACACGATTACCCCGTTCAGACTGCCCATTTGATCCTACATCAAACTAATCCGGCTCAAGCCCAAACTAATTCATGGAGCATGTACACGCAAGCTCCGAGCTCAACCGGGCTAACTTAGCACGTATAGCTGTGCATGCTCAGTTTCGCGTGTTACATCATGCAGCAGACAGCACCGCCGATAGCATTACTTGGATTTATACTGTATTATTGCAATAGCAGAAGAACACGAATATTAACAGATGATTCAATAGACAGTATAACATCGATATTATGCCCATCCAAGAGCATAGGTTGCATCATACTGATGTTGAACTGAAGTACACACACCTAGGCAAAGGCTGGCCGCTTGTAACGTCTAGTGCTAGAAAAAAACAGTAGAAACTCGACCATTGCCCGTTTGGGAATTCTCCTGAGCCCATATTCTATGAAGTCACTCAATAACATTGAGTCCATCAACCTAAGAATCGTGGCTGCAACTTTCAAGGACAAGTGTAATATGCTGTTACAGTCTAATCAACTCTGCAGATAAGAATGTAGAAGTTTCTTCCAGGATTTACCAAGTGCCATCAAATCAATTCCAAAGCATAATTTTATGCTACTAAAGTAGCTGGCGACATGAATTCCAAAATGTGTACTGATGATGTCCAGTTCATATCACAAGAACACCAACAGAAACGGAACACATCTGCTGAATCTTGCTGAGAAATATGAATTTAATATTTTGAACACCTCCTTTCATGGAAGGAAGAGCAAACTTTGGCCCTTCACATACCTCAATAGACAAAGAGCACAGCTTGACTACATCTTAATTAACAGGAAGTGGCGGCACTATTGTGCCTTCAACTGTGAAGCCTACAGTAGATTCGACATCATACATTCTTATCATCGTATCATCAGTGCCAAAGTCCAGCTGCACCTAAGAGCAAACAAGCCGAAATGTAAGGTAACCAGATATGATTGGAGCAAGCTGAGAAGCAATCTAGTTAAAAAAACGCACTTCATCACCGAAACACGGAAGGGAATCGAGGGCAGCCAGCTTGTTGAAGACGTTGAAGCATCAGCAGAAAGCCTGTATGACAACATGATGACATCCATAAATGAAACTTCAGAAGCATGTGTCCCCAAATGTGCTATTAGTCAGAGAAGCAGTGAAAAAAATACATGGGGGCTCGGGGCGATTTAGCCCCCGAAATGCCAAAAAGAGCCCCAGAAATGCCAAATAGAGCCCCCGTAAATTTGCATAGAGTTCAATACAAACCAAATTTTAGAGTGCTATTTTCATGCACGCGAGCTTGAAAAGTAGCCCCCGAAAAATAAATTATATTTTTTTCCCTGCAGAGAAGAGTACCCTGGGAAGATGATGCAGTTGAAGCAAAGAGAATTAAACTGAGAAAAGCCCTCCTTAAGCGATCCTCTGATTTACCAAAGAAAAACACACTTCAAGCTGAAGAAGCTAAGAAATGACACCATGTCACAAGAAAGACATGTAAAGGAAAAGATTAAAATTATTGAACAAGCCACTGAGCAGCAAAGATCTCAATTTCGCTGGTAAATATTGAATGAAATATCCGGCAGAAAGCAAAATAATCAGCAGAAAGCAGAGCCAGGAAGAAAAAGTACTGAAATAGAAACAGCATTTTCAGGATCTCCTCGGCACTGAACCTTCACCTGTCGAAGAAGTAATTCCTGTGGTTAAAGAAGGTGATTTAGGAATACCAAAGAATTATCGAGGTATTAGCCTAACAAGTATCGCTTCAAAGATATACAATAGAATGCTGGTTTAGTGTTTTCAACCTCACATAGAGAACATCCTGAGAGATAGCCAGAATGGTTTCAGAACAGGTAGACCTACTGCTGGTCACAATTTGGCTTTAAGGTGGCTGATAGAAGGCTGATAGGAATCTCACTGTGGAGGATGGTGATGGATTGGTTTATCCCCAACAGACATCAAAGTCCATAAAGCTAAAGCATGGTCAGCACTCAACTGAACAAGATGCATGTCATCTGGAAGTCACATGAGCAGATACCTAAAGATCAGTTTCTTCCGTACCACAGTTGAATGTCTCGCTTTATGGTGCAGAGACATTGACATTGGACAGCAAACTCACCAAAGAGCTTAATGGATGCTACACCAGAGTGTTAAGAGTAGTGCAAAATATCACGTATAAGGGTTTTGTTAACAACAGCACCCTATATGGAGACCTTCCCAAGGTCACTGATACACTACGTCTAAAGTGCCTTAAGTTGGCTGGAAATATATGGCGTGGAAAAAAAAGAGTAAACGCGCTGTTGTTTTGAGAACCAACACAGCTATCGTGTGAGTAAATGCTGCTTCTTGAATCTTGAAGCCTGATATCTTGCTTCAGGTTTTTGTTTAGACAGTGTACCTGCAGTTACTGACCCAGACACAGATGTGCTTGCAATCATTCGGTGCGAATTCAGTGTAAAGTAAAATTACAATTAAGTGACCAGTATAGGGAAGGTTTTTTACGATTGCACGTTGGTAGTCAATGACAGTCGAAGGCGTCGTGTATAATATAGATGGCTTTATTATAACCATATAATATAGTACGACATACATAGGTACGTGAGTGCCTTGTAATACCTCTCCTTAGTACATTCTCCTTTCTCTAAGCCATTCCTCCACTCACTGATTCCATTCCTCCCCCGTCTGCTATTGCTTCCCGTATTTATACCCCGGGCGTGGTTTTTCCGTGGCCACGTGTCCTGGTGACGTCCACGTGGCACAGTGACAGTGGTCCACAGTACACATTGACGGTGGTCCACGTGTCCTATCAGCTCGATCGGTGACGCAGCCCTGGATCTCCATAACCTATTTTGCCTGCGACCTCGTATATTACAGTTGGATTCTATGTGGGTGGATATTACACGCACACGGATATCACTGCCCTCAGGATCTTCGCGTTATAGGCTTATAGGCTTGGCACAAGCAGTGGACATGGCTAGGTATTCCTACCTGGTGGGTATGCCAGCGGTATACAGACATCTCCAGCTTCTGGAGCCAAGTGAGTAAGATCCTCAGGTTCATCCTTTACAACTGTCAACACACACACACACAGAACATTTATTTTAACCAAAAAATTCAAGTCCCATCTATGTTAGACATGTAAATTTGAATCTCTGATTTCCCACCATTTGGTAAAACGGCTATAATTCATAAAATAATGCACCAATTTATTAATAAATAGGTTCAGAGCACATGTGGAATAATTTTTATCCATTCTCTATGTTATACTAAACAATAATGAGTTGGTAGCAGATAATGCATCAACAGAGATCAGAAGAGAGCCAGGGCTTTACTTTCTATCCCAACTAAGGCCATTCATTACATATAAAATTCACATGCAGTGACCTCACACCAGGGCATGAAATTAGCCAAATTGTGAACAGGCCCACCCAAAATTTTAAACAGGCCCTTAGACAAATTGAACAGGCCCTTACAAGTTTAAATATGCCCTTAAATTTGTTCAATTTATTCCATTATTAATAAAAGTATTAGCTTTATGTTTATTAGGCATACTCATAGTATTTCAGTATTTCATTGCTATCAGTGAGTTCTACTTGTTTGACAGGAATTGCTAGAATATTATTTACTTTTAGTAGTCACTAAGCAAAAAATTTGTAAATATTGGTGATACAAAGGCAAGATAGGCAACAATTTGAATAGGCAAAGTGGACTGAACCGGCGGCCGCCGGCAAAATAGCGCTAATTTTGTGCACTGTCACTCTAGGTATGTTTGCCCTACCTGTGAGACTGTCATCATCTGATAATGCTAGGAAGCCTTGGTTGGCATCCTTCGTGAGCGGGGCAAACACTGTGTCTGTGCTGAACAGCACCTGGTGGAAATCTTCTTGCTGAGCCTTCTGCTGCGCTACGGCAATTATAGTTTCCTTCTCTTCTACTCCGCTGCAACGTAGACTTTTACAATTAGACAAACCGAAAATTAGAAATAGAATACTGTATACGCCATATTTTTCGCGTACATATATTTTCGCAAATTCAGACTTGACAGACAATTTCGCGAGTGCTTAATTTCACGGTCGGTGAATTATGAATTATTCGGTATGAATTAGTCGCGTGTTGTTATTTTCGCGGTCGGGGACGCGTTAGCGAAATTCGCGAGAATTAAACCACCGCGAAATATACAGCGTATGTACACAGCATCTCATATGCCTAAAGTAGCAATGGCTACACAACTGTCTAAACCAGAAATGAAACACACCAAGTAAGAACGAAATTTCTATCTAGATGGCCTTCACGTGTCGAAAAGTACACGTCATGGCACATATATGCGTTTCTATTAGCTTGTACTTTCACAAAGTAATTCACTACTATAGCCACATGGAACCCATCCGATACAAACTAACAAAGAATATCTTCATCGCTAGATTCTCCGGGATTATACCAGGGTTTCTTATACATAAGAGGCACAGTGGCGCACCGCCGTTGTCAAATTTAACATCGCCGTTGTGAAAATGTTCCTGTATTTACTGATAAGTATATCCTGTATCTATATATCAATACATCCTGTATTTGAATCCATCATGCGCATTTTTTTCCCAAAATGGCCATTACCTCCTTTGTCTAATTTTCGGGGAAAAATTACTTGTTACATTTTTCTTGCTTGCTGACTGCATTTATCAATTCATTACTGCACCTGGGCAAAGTATGACTCAGCAGATTAGAAGGCAATACACCTATGGACTGATGCATACTCATCTTTACGAGAAATTCAAGAGCCGCGCTTAGATTACCAATGTATGGTTAGGTGCCTATACTCCTAGAATGAGAAACCGCGTTGGCAGCATTTATTCAAGTATTAATTCTGTAATCAACCATTGTCCTAAATATTTGTAAAATGCAAGGAAAATACTTCATCTGCTATCAATCTTTTGCCACTGAGGAGGTGCAATCATAGAAAACCAAATACAAATGTGCAACAAGAATCAGAATGAGAATTTGAGTTCAATTTAGAAGACGAAAGACGAAGATGATTTAAAAAGGCGATGTGCATTAGCTACAATGGATACTATTAGTAGTCGTTACAGAAATCTATGTTGTTTGTTAAAAATAAGAAATGTGGCAATGGAGCTAGTTCTATGTAAAAAAAAACACCAAACTGGAGACAACTGACATTTATTGATTTGGTCTGTAAATGGAGTTGGCTACATTGTTCATAATGGGATTGACCTAAATCTCTGACAAGGCTCAGGTAGCCATCCTAGATTGTCTCTTCCTCTGCACTGATTAGTCATGTAGTAACATAAGCTTTCATATAAATGACACGTCTTTAAAGGTAATCCTCGATTTGTTTTAAACACAATAGTGAGGACCCACACCTTGGTGGACCATGACAGGTTCAGATCCCCAAACTGCTTAAACTAGTCTGCCATCACCACTAAACTGTTAAGGGCAGTAACGCCACGCCACGCCACGCCATGTCACATCACATCACATACCTCAAAACGTGATTCACACAGACGACGCATTGTGGCTTCTGAGTACACTGGTTGTAGATGATAGTAGCCTGTGTCTGTACCCACGAATAGCCACCCATCTTTGCCAGGAATCGATATTGGCCTGTTGTTGTCTGACCCTTTGCAAACACTGTAGGAAATGGGTAGGAAGTTATGCACATTGTAGTTCAGCTTTCTGTGTAAAACACACATCAATAAAGTTATAAATAGTAGTAAGAAATAGGAAACTTGTGTTTGTGCTAGCAGAAGCACAGAGTATTTAAATGTCAATGTCACAAAAAACGTTAGGTTAAGAAACATGAGAAAGCATGAATTATCTGCAGCAGCATGTCATAAACTGCCCAGCATGGCTAAAAACAGCATTAGCCAAAACTTGTCGTGCGAATGAAATTTCAATCATGACTAGCATGGCCTGACTACTGACTGTCGAACATCTAGTGAATGGATATCATCACGAGTGATATCAGCAGAGTTAAGCATGTACAATCAAAGAATAATTTAATTTGATTGATTTGCAGTTACTGCGCTCTAGTGATAAAGGGACACATGACCCTGTAGCTTCCTTGCATGTTTTCAGTTAAAATAGCTTTAAATTATGATACATAAAAAACATTATTGTTCAATATTTATTAGAAATATTATAAAACTTAATTTTAATTTTTTTTTTTTTTTAACTGACAGTTATACCATTTGCTTGCAACAACGGTGGCGGCTCTATACGGACTTCCATTGACAAAGTTGTGCAACACAACTTTTCGGCTGCAGACTACAGACAGAGGGTGTTTCTTAGTTATTAACTTAAGAGGAGAAGGATTGCAATATTTTATAAACAAATCCCAGTTTCAGTTATAAATTGTACGAATTTGTCCTAAAGAAAAATTGTTTGGTTAAATAGCAGTTAGGTATGAATATAATTCCACTTTTGTGATAAGCCCTCGGTCTGTAACGTGCAAAATAAATCGGCAGAAGCGCCTTTGTCAGAGTGGCAGCACAATCAAGTGTAAAACTCTGCTCTGCCACCACCTCTGGATATCCAACAGAACTGATACTAAAGCTTTCAAATTAAACCAGGTACATGTCAGCTGCATACAGGGCATGCAAGCATAAGGCTAACCTGTGTTTCCATGAGTTTTCCATTACCTAAAATGAGGATTTTGAAGTCTTCCTGACAATTCTCATATTTTCCAGATCATCACAATACTTACTGTGGTATTGCTTGAGTAACAAACAGCAAGTGTTTACGGTAAGGCCAACATATCTTAAAATACACGCAAATCGCTACTTTTACTCAAATATATGCAATGATTAAAATTTTATTTGTTTACTTTTTGTTGACACTGTTACACGATGATCCACGTGTTTCCCCCGAGACCCTATTGCTACACTTTGTTAATGGTTATTTGCATAAAGTCATAGAGATGGTGTACCAGTCCAAAACCACTAATATTACTCAGTGAGACACAGTTTTCGTCTGGTGAAACCAATTACAAGGCAGTTGTCATGACATTGATGAATGTGGTTGTCTCATTTGTTATTTGGTATACCATGAGAGTACAAACTCACAGTAATTTTTATATTGGGGTAATCAGTAACATGTCAATTTATAAGTGAGACATTTAATTTGTCAACATGTTTTCATTTTTCAATTTGCTAGAGAAGTAATAATTTTAAAAGGTACATTTTCGTTAGGTTATAGCTTCTATCTTTGTGACTCGTATTGCCCAACCAGTGGTTAGTGAACAAACTGTTGCATGAAGCTAATGTTACTGCTTCTCAGACAAGATAGGCTCAATTTCATGAAGACAAAACATAATTATAGCAAATTTTCCAAGGCATATAGCCTATTCTCCATGACTATTCAGGACTAAACCCTATTTACAGGATTTTTCACAACTGGAAAATAGCAATTAAAAATTCCAGAAATTCTACGACTGTCCAGATTTTTTAGTATGCATACAAACTCTGTGTACACTTACACATATACTTACAGTTTCTGAAGCTGCGAGTCAGATGTTCACTGTCCATAGCATGGTGGAACTCGTACATCGACTTGTTGCTCAGATCACTATCACAATATCCAAGTAAATTCGACACTCTGTTGTGAGAAAAAACGGTATTGGTATTTGAATAGCTTTGACAGTGTCCTAGATGCTCATGACACAGTTTTTGCAGTACTATCATTGATTTTCCTGTACAGTTACCTTCCTATATGTGTAGCTCAAATTGGCTGAACAGCACTTTCCGACTGTAGCCATTAGTGGTGTGCGTACCTGACACTTCTGCTTTTCTCTAATTAGTTAGAGATGTAATTTCCCACGCTCTAGTATCAAACAATAATAGATGTATTCATTCTGACACTATTACCACATCCTCATCTTACTCTGCTAAATTACAATACTTCGTATGTTATGTCTTTTGCTTCCTTGCATTTGTTCTGCACCATGCATGCCATTAATTCATACATCACAGCTAACAATCAACCCAGCATAACACTCAGCATTGCAATTAAAACTATAGAATAGTTACTTATATACCTAATAAGGAATTGAGTTGAAGATAGAAGTAACACTTTATTGTCTGGAGTGTATGGATATATTTTTGAACTATTAATATTTTACTAAATATTAGTGTTGGGAATTGGTAGAAAATCAGATTGATCATCATTTTCAACAACTGCTATTCAACAGATGATCGATTTCATCGTTACTTTCTTAGGTACTATACACAGTTTGAACAAAACATGCAATATAATTTGACAAGTGTTTAAGCGGAGTATTTACACGTGGAATTGATAGGATTATACTTAAATCTATCTTCTAGTAAGTGAATGGCATGATTAATTGATTATACTACGGGCAAGCAAACAGGTTATATGACTAGTCCAATATAGGTTGGCATTAGCCAATTAAAATCAATCTTCAAAATATCATGATGGATTACTCCATTATGAAAGCAAACGACCACAAGTTGAACAATACCCTGCGCTACACTTCGTGCCTACGATAATAATCGATGATTACACACACCACTACTAAATAAATAGATTCCTCTAAGGAAAATCACCCATTTATTGGTAATACTAAAAGGTGGAAGAAGCGTTAGTACCGCAATAAGCCAATAATCTGTTCCACGCACCCATGCAAGGATACATAATGCAGAATTGTATTGTTGGTTCCAAATGGAAAAACATGAGAGTAATACTAATAGCAACTGTATGTAAATAGTAGCAATGTAAGTAATATAAATTTATTGCCCATTCAGTGTTAAACAAAAAACTATTGGCCATCAGTAATGAACTATTTCTTTGACATCCGAAATAACCTCCATGGAATTAGGAAACCTATATTAATATGCCTTTGGTTTAGGTATGGGTGACCAGCCACGTTAACAATTACCTAATCTAATGGTTCATTGACTAGTTCATTTATATTGGTTTAGCCTGCAAATAGCAGACTAGAAGCTAGAATATCAAGTTGTATACGTTTTTTTAGTAATCTAAAACAAAATTTTGTTTATTAGTGATTCATCCAGGGAAAATGCCTGTTTCTAACAAACCTACAGCAGGTATCAAGAGGGACATCGATGGATGTTTGAGGAAAACACTGCCCTCAGCAACACACCCAAATGGCATCAATGGAGATTTGGGGAAGACACTGCCCCAGGTATCACACCTGAGCGACATCAACAGAGGCCTGGGAAAGACTGCCCACAGTACCACACAGGAGTGATATCGATGGAGCTCTGAGAAAGACTGAAAGTGCTGTATGTAACACATCCAAGCAACATCAATGATGGTCGGCAAAATACACTAAGGCAGAACCCACCTGCTGTCTGTGAACGTGAACTTCATGTCCATACTGTGGCGGCTGATGAACGTCTTGCTGTCGAGTGGTGATTCAATGTTGGAGGGGTGAGGGATTCCCTGACACACCACGACCAAACAGGACGACATGCCCGCCGCATCCTTGTCATCCTCCTCAACGACCACAAAACTGCCCGTGCATTGAATTACCTATGGAGAACAAACCAAGCAAAATACATTATAGAGAGAAAACTAGATGCTGAAATCACCTGGGATGACCAAAAAAAAATACAGATATAGTTCAGTGAATATGTCAGATACGTTATATATCTATGTCTGTATATACTGTGAGCTGTATGAAATGCTCAATTTCTAGTGTGATTTTATTATAAAACATAAATCTAAGAAATAATGTACAGTTACACACCACTCACTCATTACCTCCGCCTAACGGAGTTGGAGGAGGTTATGTTTTTGCTCTCGTGTGTTCGCGTTAGACTGGTACTCGCTCCCAACTTATTCTCCCATCGAGTAACTAAGCCGAGAGGTGGGACCGGATACCAGTCTAGTGTTCGTGTGTTCGTGTGTTCGCGCGATCGATATTAGCGCGTCAGCCAGCGAGACAGCCAGCCAGCCAGCGCAGCGACCCAGCTCGTAACACATACATGTTACATGCTGGCGGAGATATGCACTCTCCGTCAGTGCACTCTGTCTAGTTACCTTCGCCCAACGGAGTTGGAGGAGGTTATGTTTTCGCTCTCGTGTGTTCGCGTTAGACTGGTACTCGCTCCCACCTCGATTCCCCCATCGAGTAACTAAGCCGTGAGGTGGGACCGGGTACCAGTCTAGTGTTCGTGTGTTCGCGCGATCGATATTAGCGCGTCAGCCAGCCAGCCAGCCAGCGCAGCGAGCCAGCTCTTAACACATACATGTCATATTCTGGCGGAGGTATGCACTCTCCGTGAGTGCACTCTGTCTAGTTGCTACTGTGGCATGCGAACCAGACTAACCCACCTAGGCCATCTTATAATCCACATTAAGCAGCCAATCATTGCATAATCACACTGGGCCTCAAGAGAACATTTGCTTGCCCAAGGCACTCTAATAATGTGACCCACACTTGCTAGGCAAGAGGCACACCTACCTGGACACGCATATACAGCGGACTTTATTGGATCTGTGCTAGAAACCTGTTTCACACTATCTATGTACATGAACTAACACGGAACTACATAACCACCATGAAAGCACATGGGACAAAATATCAAGTGCCTAGAAACATTTCACAGACACTTCCGCTGTTCAAGGCGAAAAAATCGTGTTTTAGTCACTGCCCTCACCTGCAATGATGTCCTAATATATCCCGAATGCTGCTTCATACCCAGCTGAACATTTGCACATGAACCAAAAATAACATTTTGATTGTTGTTTAGAAATTCTTCATTCCGTAAAAGTCACATAATAGGATGGCAACGATACGCCTAATCCATTATACGATACATATTTATATGTATCATGATATGGTACATGATACAAACTACTGAATAAAACTTGAAGTATGCTAATTTTGAGGAATCGTCATTCAATTTCCCAGAAATAGAATCAAAATTTACACAGCACCGAGTGATTGCATGGTGATTATGGCATTTTCAAACCAGCATGCTGCTTTTATCACACGAAAACATGCACAGGGCACCCAACAACAGATATTTCGACAATCTGACGAAGGCAGCAAGTGGGCAGTTAATTTGAATTAAGTACAGATTTCTGTTTGGTGTATCGTGGTGTATCAATCAATATTCATGTGCAGCTGTATTATGAACAGTATCACGGGCAATTAATCATATTATGACAATTAATTGTATCATAAATAAACGTTGCACTACTATAACAATAAACACATACTACACACAAAATAAATACATCCGAGTCTCGATTATCTGACCTAAACAGAGCCTATAGGTTGGTCAGATAGTCAAAAATGTTGGAAAACACAGAAACGGGGTGAAACAAATCGCGAATTAAAATAAAGGTGCAGCATAATTAAGCATGAAATCAGGTTTAATAACAGTCATTAATTCTACAGTATAACTAAATAGACACTATTACTTAAACCTAGATTAACAACACTATTACTAGGGTACAGACGTATTGTTAATTGTTTAAAAAAAATGGTTAATTGAAGTTTATTTTCCAGATTTGCTTCTCTACCTTGCAGTAAGATTTTGCCGCATGTCAATGAGATGACATCACCACCAGCTAAATCCCCTTATTGTTTAGTGTTCGTGGAGTAAAACACTGTACAGTACACACATAGCACACAAATTGACCATGTTCGATATAATGTAGTAGACTTGAATGTACGACCATCGATTATCGAAATATATATATATATATGGAGTTAATGAAGACAAATTTGTCTTCATTAACTCCTGATATATATATATATATATATATATATATATATATATATATATATATATATATATATATATATACATCTCCACCACCACCACACCAATTAGTAAGTGGTGGCACGTCGTAGGGTGACTAACGATTTTCCTGTACAGTGATAGGGAGTCACAAGTTAATGTGCATTTCCTGGTACTAGTCAATGCTAAATTCTTGTATGCAAAGGAAGTGCCCGATTAAGAAGAAGGTGTCTGTATGCCCTTTTTAACAACAAATTATTTAAATAATGACCACAATATACTTTGCAAAATAAATACATAATAACTTCTTTCGACAACATACCTTACATATATATCTTATTCCTTGGGCACAACCACATGATGTCATGTGTGGCTACTGTAACACTAACAGTATATAAATGTATTAGAGCCTACCAAGTATACGTGGCATCGGACACGATATCTAACATAAAATTCTGCCCACCCCGTGCAATATGCGAAAAATAGACAGAACAGAAGCTACAGAACGTTAAAGCGCAGTACCTTCCACGTGGCAGACTTCAGGTTGACGTTACGTCCCTTGTTTGTCAGCGTGGTCTTCATGCGCAGCAGAAATGAGCAAGGCCGCCGGTTGTGACTCATCTTGCTGGAGAACTGCTGGGTAAGCTCCGAGTGGTCACAGGGATGACTATAGTCATAGACACTCTGACCGGTGAGATGCATCTTCAAGTCGAATGGTCGCGATGGAAGGTCGAGGAAGACAGAAATATAGACAGAAACAATTAGATTATCTAAGAACAATTTGATGACATCTATGGTGTTTTTCACAGCCTAGTTGCATACAAAATTTAACATTTTTCCTAACAGTATTACTGATGACAAAAAAATGTTCATAACCAAACATTAAATAAGTGGAAATTCACAAGGTGGTGATTCATATCTGAATTACAAGTCTGATAGCCTCCAATTTCATCGATAATAGGCCAAGGCATTAATACTAGTGCCCTCTTATTAAAATGTCTCATATCAAAAGTAAATTTTGCTTTGATAATTATTATTTTATGAAAGACATGATTTTAAATTATTTTAAATCAATTATTTATTTATTTTATTAGATTAGGTTCTCCAACAGAGCAAGCACTACAGCCTTTACCACTCCACATTACGTAATGGAAAGCAATTGAAGCTATGTATCGACAGAGTTAGTTACTTGCATTTAACAGCTAGCAAACTATTGCCTTTAAAACTGTTTTTACTAGCTATACACAACCATGGTATCACAGCGAGCGATGCAGAAGAGAAAAACAGGAATGTACGGTACAGTACGTCAGCTATCATAAAACAAGCTTATATGAATATTATACCTAGTAGTGGCGCTCGTAGGGTCTATGTCCCCCAGGGTACTGCCGGAACGTACCCTGGTAACTATGTGATATGGTTAGCAGGTTAGGGTTACTATTAGGGTTAGGGTTAGGGAGTAGGCGTAGGCGACTCCCTAGACTCGTTAGTGGAGTAGGCGAGGTACGGTCCGGCATATTAGATAGTACCAGGGTCCGTTCCAGTATACCGGACCGTACCCAGGGTACGTTCCGGCAGTACCCTGGGGGACATAGACCCTCTCAGCCCTAGTGGCTTGTTTTTCCGAACTCGATATAACTTCATTTAAGCTCTTAGAGTTGAATAATAATTATTTGTACTAATAATGGGCGGGAAGCATGGTGTTGATTTCTAAGAGTGCTGAGCGATGTGAACAGCGAGTGCTAAATGCGTTACAAGTGCGCAACGCTACTATGAACCACAGATGTTTTCTGATTAAACATATGATACCTTAGCACACAAACCATTAAATACCTGTGCCAATCCAAGAAATTGTGTGACGTTTTCGGATATAAAAATGATATCGCCATCACGGGATACTACCAGGATGAAGCCATCAAGAGCCTTTAAGTATTCCTGATCAGAAATCTCATTCTTTACTAATGGCAGTTTTACTGTGAGAGGAACAAACGAACACTTCTCAGCAATAGAAGAAAATTAGAAGTTTTACACAAAAATATACCATGTTTAGTGAATAAAAACACATGGACAGCTGCACCAAAAGCTATTCTGCAAGAGTCAATCAATCTAACATAAATTTTTACACTTTTAAAATTACACAAAGCCCACATACTACGCTAAGAATTTATATCTAGCTTGCACAAAAAGTAATACTGTAGCAAACACAGATAAACATTTAGATATCAGGATCACTTAAAAATCCAGGAATCCAAAGCATGAGGCTTATCAGCATACATGTTAATTTATTACACATATTTACCAAAATATAGGGCTGTCATTGATATGAAAATATTTCGATTTTGATTATTAAAATATCTTTTCCCAATATTTCAATCTGATTCGATCCGATTCGTATAACATAAATATAATGTTTCAATCCTTTTTGGCATGTATGGTAGCCTTTGCTGTAATTTTTCTAATTAAATTAGTACACATGACGCTCCATTGCATGGGACTAATGCTTCTCTGCTGTGAATGCAATGCCTAGTTTAAGCAACTAATAAGAAAGAACACACCGAGAAAGTATAATAAACAAGAAACCAAAAAAATATCATCTATATTGCAACGTGAACAAAATGAAATAGAGTGAACAAAATCCATCGCGATACATCAATGGCCTTGGTATCAATGACAGTCCTACCAAAACATATTAGTAACAGTTAACGGTACACATGATAATTAAGATAAACACCTTGGTATACCGTGTAATATCCCTTCATTATCCAGCTCTCAATAAAATCACAGAAATATAGCACTTCAACTTAACACCAAACTTACAAGTGTTGATCAGCTGATGTATCTTAAGCCAACTGATAGTGACACGCATAAGGGAGGCCTTGTCAAGATGTGACACAGTTTTCGTTGGGAGCGGCAGCAGTGCGGCGATCTCGTAGAAGATCTCGGACTCTTTGCCGCGACGACATCTTGCTGCATCCCTGGATTTCTCTTTTCGTTTCACCGAGTTGCTGTGGAAATAAGTACACATTATAAACACGTGTGATTGCAAGTTCCTATATCAATAAGGTGACTGTGATACGAAATAACCACCTTAATAGCTTGCTACCATTTAAAATGAATATTACTGACTGATCATGCACACAAGAATACAATATGGAAATGCTGGAAGTATATCATTTATGCATATAGTTTTCATACTCATTGGGCTGTGCTTTCAATTTTTTTCGAGTTTTAATCAGCTGTACCAACGTCCAGACATTAGAGCTAGTCTGCTGCTCTTGACATGTGTATAAAACATTACCATAGCATCAAGAGTCTATCAATATCCTGATAGCATCTAAGATGTATTAGAACAAAATTATTCAGGGGCAACCAAGTTCCCATAACACCGATCACAAATGAAAGTGTCAATGACACTGTAGCTCACCTTGGGTGTGATAGAAGAGGGAGGGGGGATATATAAAGCAAGAGTATATATGGGAGAACTCCCATTATATACTAGTTAGCATATATCTCCCATTATATATACTCTTGATAATGAATTATGATATATGCATAAGTTTTGATGCGAAAATAAATGTTTCAGATTTGAAAGTCTGAAATCTTGACGAGAGATGGCGCTACGCCTAAATGATGGCCATTTTGGTTTTCAAATATCGCACAAATAAAAACAATAAAATATTCCAGTCAAATTATTGTAACGAAGAATCTAAAACACAATATTACACGTATATAGGTATGATTGTAGAGTTGTTGACCAGTTAGACGAAATAAACGTAATATTAGGACGTTGTCATCTCTCCCATAGGAGTAACAACTGCATGCAATTTAAAACAGGTGGGTCAAACGGTTCTTGAGTTATCGTTGACTGCAGGCAGACACTGAAATGCATAGTGAAATTGCCAAAATCTACCTAATTTGCATAATAATAAAAAAAATCAAAACCTGTGTGATATGTTTTGGGGCCAGTCCTCATTCATTCACATACCAGAAATGAGCAAATTCCATTGAACCTGAACTGACTTATGGCCATTTCCATTTTTGCCAAAAAGTGGATGATCGAGGCTCGAATGTAGGTCGACTGGCATGCTCCAAAATAGGACGTTCAAACCTCTCCCATAAGAGTAACAACTATATATGCAATTTGAAACATGTGGGTCAAACGGTTCTTCAGTTATCGCTGACCATAGCCAAATGTTGACGGACAGACGGACGGACGGACGTTCGACGGACGACACCCCATGGTAATAGCTCATCTTGACGATGTCAAGGCGAGCTAAAAATTCATATTTCCTTTGGCTTTGTTCTAAATGTTCAACGATTGCCACATTAATAGTTACAACGAATCTTGAATTAAAACACTTTATGTGTGTGGCATCTTGTTAATCCATTCCCTGTAACAAAATATAAGAATGCTAAGCACCACTATATTTTTTCGGTTTGCAAATTCGACTACACAAATATAATTCGGATTATTCAGATTGCACAAAATATTAGGAGAACATAACTATTATGCTCCCTTAAAATAATCCAAGTTTATAAAACTGTCATGATGACATTTCACTGCTCCACTTATTATAGTTCTCATGGTTAGTTTATACTATATTACTTTGTCACTAAATTATTATTCGTCCCAATTTTTAATCTTCAAACTGAGGTTTTGTTACTTAGGAAGTTTATAGCCAAGGAAAGCTAAAACCAGAAAAACTTTACTACAGCTGTTCGGACAAGTATTCACTGGCTAACCTTGGCGTAATCATTCTGACATTCAGAAGGATCACTCCAAGGGCTAACCTACAAAAACATGCTTGCACTCTATCATGCGGCAGTCAGGGTTGGCAGCAATTCAAGGACGCGTAACTACTTGTGACAACTGGTGGATAGGTTGACTAGGGTGTGCGCTAGTGGCACGTTAAGCTTCCGCTACCATTTTTTGCTGGTGCCCTGTAAACTGTTTTAAAGTAAACCACTTTTCGCATGCGAGTCTATACATGTCCTTGACATACTACACTACCAAAAACAAATCAAAGAATATAGATGGCTGGATATATAAAGCAAAATTGTTGTGACATATTTAGGTCCCTTACATACATCTATAGAACAGTTTACTAATATCAAAGTTAATTTATGGCAATTTATATGAGCCTAGATTAAATTCACTTTAAATAAAAGCAAACATTCATCAGTCCTTGTGTTTTGGAAAAGGCAGGCGAGTGAAAAATCGCACACCTTAAATTGGCTCGCCGAGGTGTGTGATTTGCATCGGAGTGCCCACAGGGCACGAGGCAAACTAGGGGGGTTCGGGGGCATCCCCCCCGGAAAAAAATTTGAAAACTAGACTTCATGAAATGCCATTTCCAGCATTTTGGGATAAAAATTAGCTCTGCATTTGTACTCTTAATTTTGACATTTTTTAGGTGATTTTTTTTTCATCTAACAAAATATCAGTTCTTGAACATGTGGTTAACTTGAATCACACATTTAGCATGTTTAGTCAAAAAGGAACAACACTCAATTTTTCAAAGCATATTAAAACTATTAAAACTTTATCTAAAAATACAAACAATCACATTCGTCGTTCTAGAGCGCTTTGCGACTGTCGTTATAAACATGTGAACCGACTTCCGGCAATGTCTGTGATGTTTACAACCGTTTGCGTTTATCTTCGAGTTTATAAGTTGAATTAATGAAAAATAAAACACACAAAAAAAAAGTGTGCGTTTTGATAATGCTTAGATGCGCGTTTTTTCGCACTTCTCCTGATCAATCAAGGCGCGCGATGGCGCGCGAGCGCGATCGCGCACCTTAAAACACAAGGTCTGATTCATGGTATCCTCCGCTACACTGCAGTTATCTAAAAGTGGGCAAAACGTAAACTAGCACTGATGCGTAAAATTTGATGGTTTTTCTTAACAGATATTTGTGGAAAACAGCCACTAGAACTCTTGAATGGCAAACGCGCAGCAAAGTATGGGGGCAATTATCAACATCATTATATTAATTATGATTACAAGCATCGGCGTGCCACAATGCAGTGACTGTGGAGTGGATTTATAATTTTATAGAATTTGTTAAGAATTGCAGTAAATTTTAATTAATTTCTAGTGAAATAGCGACAGGATAAACATTCACCTGCACGTGATTGCTAACAAAAACGCTGTTCACATAAACCACCATGAGCAGCACTTCTCATTTTTCGGCTACCCTATAAAATGTTCTTCAGTTTACAGTATTTTAATTAATTATAACAAAAATTAATTAACATGCTTTCCTTGCATACTCTCATGGCTAAATGTACATAAGAACGTCGAGCTATTTCAGTATAGCCACACCTATATTATGGGTGTACATATGTTGCGTTACGTTTCCATACATTGCGCTCTATTTCCTTGTCTTAACCCTTGCATTCCACATATTTCTCTTCAATTAACACTCTACAATTAAAATTTTCATTGCGGTAGTCTTTCACATTATCCTAATTACGCTCTACTTTAAAATGTGCAATGTGAGACATGCCAACTGAAATGTTCCACCGCCACATCCTTTAAAAACAGCTTTTGATTAAAATACGGTTTCAACTAATCACAATATACAACTGATCAGTGAAAGTGGTTCAACGAGGTATAAGCTTTAACATATTGAGGAAAGCCTATGCAAATGCACAAAAGCTCCTTCACAAGTGCACGCATTCATACACAACAGGTAACAGGAATTTCAAACACCATGACAAATAAATGCATAATGGATCTTACACTATGAATTCCAAGGAAAGACTGACGTTTTAATAGATATTCAGTTGTCTTCACATATTAAAAATCACCATTACAAATTACATAAACTAGTTGCTCTTTTGCTACAATAGTTTAAAAAAAAATGTATCCCAAAATAATAGGAATTTACTTCTCAGCCAACTACTTTGCCTTTTGCTGTCGTTAGGAATGACTTACAACCATGATTCGTAACATTACACAGGAGAACACTCCTCACCAATATATATAGTAAATTCCAAGTTCTAACTCAGATAACTACAAAATTTCGGATACTCTACAAAATATTTAACTAGAACATCACAAAATCTTAGAGCACCCCCCCCCCCCAGAGGCTACACGGTTAAAACAGGAATATGTTCAACAACCAAGTAATTAGTTTGATCTCGTTGGACCGAATGAAGTATGAATACTTCAATGTTATCACACAAAAAGTTCTCAATTTCTTACAATGCCAAAGTGCACCTTCACTGACACGCACCTGTTCATACCAGCCTATATAAACAATACACTAATATTTCGAGAAAAAAACCATCAAACAAGGCAATTGTGTTAGCGGGATTCTTGTGAGCCATTAACATTGAGAGAAAACTGCTTTTAACACACACACACACAGATTTGCATACGATGTCGTTAGTAGGCGTTCCAGATCAATATTTGCTTATAAACCACTTACGGTTCCAATCGGTGATACGTCAACTGTGAAATACCATAACAGCATGGCCCACAGTTCTGCTGACAATCACTGCCATAGAAATACGGCTGTTGTCTAGATGGGTACACAATATCGTGTTCCATCTTCACTGCAGGCTCATAAGCCGCTGGCGTTTCTTCATTAAACCGCATGTGTCAATATGAAAACGCAATCGAATCAACAAGTGAAGTTCAATTCGATCGAGACACTTTCCGCAGTATCACTAACCGTAACACAGTAACATAGAGTCCCCGAGTTAGTTCAGCTTTCACAACGATCTTTACACAGAAGACGCTTTCCAGAACACATCCGATGGCATTTCAGTAAATCTTTGTATCAATATTATTTGGGAATCTTAAATGATGAACACTTGAGCAATTTACTTATTTGGCATGCAAATCCTCTAAGAAGCAACTGTGATAAGTAATCTACGCATCACAACTGTTCTATCTGCAGGTTGAGCATAGATGTAGGTGAATGAATACGCCTACTTGATTATGGCGTTACAAGCAATGCGGCTCAGTAGACGAATGACATGGGTCAGTAC